CTCAGCAAAATGCCTGCTAAAATACTGAAGGTGGTAGGATACCATGAAGAAGCAGCAAAAATGCACAGCTTTCTCCTTCCTGGTCAATAGAAATTGTCTTAACTGATTTTACCACCTCTGACATTCTTGTCTTCAATTAAACAGACAAAGGGCAAATGCATCTTGAAAGCTGTAGGTTTCCGTGGCTAGTTTCATTGGTACAAAATATTCTTTCGGAAAATGAAGGCTTTGCACCAACTATATGCTATTATTGACTTTTCAATGATTTTTGGTACAATAAATGAAACTCTGAATTTTAAATAAAGTGCAATGCTCAGTTAAGAATGGACATCTTCTATAAGGCTGTCGTGGCTTAACCTGGCAGGCAGCTAAACACCACACAGCCATTTGCTCATTCCCCCCCAGTAGGATGAAGGAAAGGATTGGAAAAAAAGTTAAAACTCGTGGGTTGAGAGAAAGACAATTTAATAGGACAGAAAAGGAAGGGAAATTAATAATAATGATAAAAGAATATGCAAAATGAGTGACGCACAATGCAATTGCTCACCACCCATTGACCAATGCCCAGCCAGTTCCCCAGCAGCGGCCCCATCGCGCCCCTAGGCAACTTCCCCAGATTTTGTTCAGCATGATGTCATATGGTATGGAATATCCCTTTGGCCAGTTTGGGCCAGCTGTCCTGCCTGTGCCCCCTCCCAGCTTCTTGTGCACCTCCAGCCTTCTCAGTCGGTAGAGCATGGGAAGCTGAAAAGTCCTTGACTAGTGTAAACACTACCTAGCAACAACTAAAACATCGGTGCCTTATCAACTTTGTTCTCACCCTAAATCCAAAACACAGCACTGTACCAGCTACTAGGAAGGAAATTAACTCTATCCCTGCCGAAACCAGGACACTTGGCTATGGCATTAACCATTCTTTTCAAGGCTTTAGCCTTGAAGAATAACATTTCCTGTGCAAAAGCAGTCTGGTTTATGAATTTTTCACATGCCAGTCAGTTTGTACAACACACTGGAAAATATATTTGGCTGTATTTGTTTTAGGCCTGACAAATCCATGAGCCTTTTACCTGTCCAGGATAAAATATGAATCTATCTATTTTAAGATCATGATTTAAATAATAATGTTATAAATACCCATCCTTATGCAAAGAGAAATGCCATAATTGTTTAAAATGACAGACAGGTCATAGAGACAACTATTTCTTTCATTCCAATTTTACATGACGTTGAAAATTATTTTGTTAAAATGTAATCTGCGTATGTATATTTACTGAGAAAAAGATAAAGGAGTTCTAACAGTAAGGCATATAGAATTGTATGGGTTAAAGTGCGTATTCCAATTTCTTAACATTTTCTGTTTTTCAACTATAAAGCTGTAACAGTGCAAGACGAGACTTGACTAGAAGGAATGTGACTTGGGTACTCTCTTATTTTAGTTTTCTGTGGAAAATTGCTTATTTTCCTAAAGCTGCAAGAACAATATTTGTGACATGGAAGACAAGTCCAACAAAGCTCAACTTGGCTCTCAAATAAAGCTTGAGTGAGGTTTAAAAGGCCTAAAGGCCTTGGGGAGTCTCTGTACAGAGGGTGTATTTAACGCTAAGCAGTAATTTGCACAGAAACTAATCTTGAAAATGAACATTCATTTTATTGCAGTACATACCAAAGGACAGACAACTCAAACGATGAAAGCTGAATAGTCAAAGAGACCTTTCTGAGGAATCATAAATAAATTTATTTCAATCACTATTTAAATGAGGAGACAGGTGGTCGGTCTGGGCCATAGCAAATGCCTCTGGCTACCCATTAGTGGGTGTTTTGGCCGCTTGTTCTGACACTGCCCACCTTGTTCAACAAAGTATTTCAGGCTTGTGGGGCAGTATTTCATGCAGAGTGAATGTCAAACAGACCCTCATTATCAAACTCATCTGACAGACACCGTGTATGCACATCAACATAGTGAGGGTACAGAATATGGCTACGCTGGTCTACTGTTGGCCACCTTTTAGCAATGCACTCAGCAGTTAGTCATCAGCAATGAACAGCTTAAAGAGCATAATTAATATTTTGGTCCGTTTCAGTGTCTCCTCTTCACTAATTTATGTTAATAGTCTATGATACATGGATTCAAGCATCATGTCTCAGACAAATTGGGGGGGAATAAACATTTTTAGATTTTGATATGTTGCACACTGGTATGTGTATAAAAAGACTTTAACTTGAAAATACAGACAGTAGGCAAATTATTGTAAAAAAACATAAAGCTGTGTAATGGAATTGAGAGTTACATGTATTTCTGGTTTCCTCTTCTCTGCTATATCAGACATACGTAATTTGCCTTTATTTTCAGGACCTTTCAAAAAATATGTGCTTCCAACATCTTCCTACTCATTTGGCATTGAGACACTGCCTCCAGCCTCTGGCCAGCACATGTTGCCATTCTTTATAAATCCAATTGTTCCCTTGTGAAACAATCGCCTTCTTTCTGTTCCACAGACTGTAACTCATTCTCAGAAGTAGCTCTTGTAAAATATCCATAAACTAATTTCTTATTCCCTCTATTTCTAGTCTTTCCTTAAAAAAAATCTAAATTTCAGTGTTACTTACTTAAAGGAAAAAAAGCGTTCATAGTGTTTAAGGTGATTCTGTGCTGAGACTGCTGCCTACCACAGCGATTAGTATTGTCTTGTTATT